AGAGAGAGAGGGAGAAGCAGGCTCCCCGCTGAGCAGAGAGCCCGATGCGGGGCTCAATCCCAGGACCCTGAGATCATGACCTGAGCTGAAGGCAGAGGCTTACCCCACTGAGCCACCCAGGCGCCCCGCTTCCTTTATTTCTATACTTAGTCCTCCTCATTAGAAATGTAGTGATTCAGGGGGCACCTGGGTGGTCCAGTCGCTTAAGCATCTGACTCTTAATTTTGGCTCAGGTCATGCTCTCAAGGTCATGAGATTGAGCCCCTTAGAGGGCTCAGCACTGAGTCGGCTTAGGGTTCTCTCACTGTGGGTGCTCTCTCTCTCTTTGAAATAAATAAATAAAATTTAAGAAAAAATAGTAGTGGGGCGCCTGGGTGGCTCAGTGGGTTAAAGCCTTTACCTTATGCTCAGGTCATGGTCTCGGGGTCCTGGGATCCAGCCCTGCATTGTGGGGCGCTCTGCTCAGCAGGGAGTCTGCTTCCACCTCTTCTCTCTGCCTCTCTGTCTACTTGTGATCTCTCTCTCTGTCAAATAAATTTTAAAAATCTTAAAAAAAAAAAAAAAGAGTAGTGATTCCTATCTTCTATACAGACTGGTATAACCCTTTTTTATTTCTTGAGCTTTATGGTATGTTTTAATATGTGACAGGCTAGTATACCCATTGCTCTGCCTTTTTGAAGTTTTAAATTTTCTTTTCTTAATTGCCTTTTTATATGCATTTTAGTTATTTGCTTATTTATTTACTTCTAGAAGATTGGGTTTAAATTTTAAATTAACTTCTGGAAAATCTACATCTTTATTACATTAAATATTCTAACTAGGACATGGTGTATCTTTACTTTTGTTAAGTCTGCTTTTGTGTTGTTTATCAGTACTTTAAAGTTTTTATCACCTAAGTTTGCATATTTCTTGATAAGTATGATTTTAGGTATTTTGTCTTTTGCTGACCTTGTAAATGGCTTTCTGTCTTTTATTAAATCTTTAAATTGGTATCTATGGAAGCTCTTGGTTATAGCAGATATCAAATTTTATAAGTATTTTCTAATTGAATCATTCTTGTGTTCATGGAATAAAAAATGCATATAATCTCTTAATGAGCTCTTTCAGTTTGCTCATGTTTTATTTAGGATGTTTGCATCAGTAATGTGTACATGAAATTAATCCTTAAGTTTGTGTATTTTGTATTTTTCTCAGATTTTGGAATATGATCACTGCATGAAAAGAATTTAGAACTATTTCCCCTTTGAATACCTTAGAGTATTTCAAGTAACATTGGACTCACCTTGTCTTTTAAGTCTTGGCAGAACTTTGTGAAGCCATCTGGGAAACCATGCACATAAATTTGAAAACCTGAATAAAAATGGAACTATTTCTAAGCATAATTTACCAAAATTGACTCCACCTTTTAATCTTTGTTCCATAGTTAAATATATCCATTGTTGACCAGTCTTAGTATCCAAGTTTGCCTAGTCATCTCTTGGCTGGCTGAAAACCCGTTTTAGAACAGCATTGTAAAATAGAAATGTAATTTTTTTTTTTAAGATTTTTTTTTAAAATTTTATTTATTTTTTTGACAGATCACAAGTAGGCAGAGAGGCAGGCAGAGAGTGAGAAGGGAGGAAGCAGGCTCCCTGCGGAGCAGAGAGCCCGATGCAGGGCTCGATCCCAGGACCCTGGGACCATGACCCGAGCTGAAGGCAGAGGCTTTAACCCACTGAGCCACCCAGGCACCCTAGAAATGTAATTTTTAAATGTAAATTTTAATTTCTTTTGTAGCCACATTTTTAAAAACTAAAAGGAAATAGGTGAAATTAATTTGAATAGACTATTTAACCCATTATATCAAAAAATGTCATTTTAAATGTAACCAGTATAAAACTTACTATTGAGAAATTTAAATTCTTCATATGAGGCTTTCCAAATTAGGTATGGATTTTTCCACTTTAAGCCGATCTTAATAGACTAATCACATTTCAGATACTCTGTAGCTATATGTGGTTGTAACGTAACAGACAGTGTGGCTGTAGAAGATTCTTCTAGAGTGGGGATTGACAAACTTTTTTATAAAGGCGCAGGTAGTAAATATTATAGTTTTTGCAAGCTGTATGGTTTCAGTCACAACTACTCAACTCTGGTGTTAGAGCACAAAAACAACCTTAAATGACATAGGAATGTATATAGCCGTATTCCTATAAAATTCTACCGTGGACACTGTAATTTGAATTTTATATAATTTTCATGTGTTGCAAACTATTACTGTTTTCAACCACTAAAAATGTTAAAACTGTTCTTAGTTTATATAAAAATTGGTAGCAACCTGGACTTCGCTCCTGGACTGGGCCAGAAGGAGATAAAATAGATTTAGTATATTTTTATTTTTTATAAATAGCTATCTACACTGAAAAGGGAGAGAAAGAGAAAGAGAAAAGGGATTGTTGAGGTGGTTTGGAAATTTTATAGTATAGGAAATTGAAAGGTAATCCATGGGAGTAAAATAGAAATAAACTGTATAGCCTGCAGTGGGCTGTAGGGGGCAAATAGAGGGCCTACACACACCAGGATTGGAGTTTGAGTCATGCTAACCATGGGTATAGTAAGAGCACCCAGGTCACAGTATAAATAAGACTTGGTTTGGAGACTTAACTTCATGATGTGTGGTTGGCCATCTTTAATACCCCCTGATGCACAGGTGATTATAAGAGAATCTCTCCAATAGTATTGCAAACAAAATTCACAGTGCAAACAAGAAAGATGAGCCAGAAAGCAGCCAGTTGTGTAACAAACAGTAGAATTTACACCCAAAATGTAGAAATAAGGGAACCTTAAAGTTTCGGAAAGAACTTTAAAAGTTGATTCATAATCTTAGGAGATAAAGGACTTAAAGCCATCAAAGATCAGCAGTCTTGAAACAACAAAATGGTGTGAAAATCAGCCATTTCAGAGTCTTATAAGTAAAGACCTAGGTGGGCTTCATTATTGAGTAGCTGTCACCTAGGATGAAATGTACTGGAGAATAAAAACTTAAGAAATCTCCAAGAACACTAAACCCAAAATGATCAAAATAATCAGTACTTGGCAGAGACAGAGAAACTGGAAGCTAAGGATTGGAGTCAGTAGAAACTATAGACGTGCAAGGCATAGCTGACTATACCTTTTCCTGAAGTCTCAAATAAACGTGGACAAAGACCTTTGAAGAAAACTCAAAACTATAAAGATGTCATTTCATCTAAATTAATTTGTAGATTTAATGTATTCTTGGTTGGAATCCCAGTAGGATTTTTTTGGAACTTTAAAATTTGTTTTTTATGTTTGTCTTAGAAAAGTAAAACAAGAAAATTAATGGAAAACTAAAGTGGGAAGAGGGGGACCTACTCAACTATATGTCAGAAGTTACTGTTTTAAGTGATTGAAACAGTGTGGTACTGACGTAGGTATATACAAGTAGATAACAGACAAGAACACACAGTAGACACATGTGCAAGTGTGTGTTTAGTGTGCAAGGGTAGATTTTAATTTTAATTGACATCTCAGATTAATAAAAGAATGTATTTGGAAAATAGCCTGGAGATAATTGGGTCCTCTTCCTGATAGATGTAAAGTTTAAATGAGAGGTGAGCCTCGGTGGCTTAGCCGGTTAAGCATCTGCCTTTGGCTCAGGTCATGATCTTGGGGTCTTGGGATTGAGCCCCACATTGGGCTTCCTGTTCAGTTGGGAGTCTTCTTGTTCTTCTCCTTCTGCCCCTCCCTTACCCCACTCTCTCTCAAATAAATGAATAAAATCTTTATTAAAAAAAGTTTTTTGTTTTAATCTCTAGTTCTTTATCTGTTAGAACTTTATCTTAAAATTTTTTAAATGTTCTATTTATTTATTAGAAAGAGTCAAAGAGATCACAGCGGGAGAGGGAGAAGCAAACCTGCCTCTTGAGCACAGAGTCCAGTGCAGGGCTCAATCCCAGGACCCCAAGATCATGCCCTGAGCCGAAGCCAGACACTCAACTGACCGAGCCACCCAGGCACCCCTAAAACAAAAAAAAAAAAAAAAAAATTTTTTTTTTAAGATTATCATTTATTTATTTGACAGCAAGCCAGAGAGCACAAGCGGGTGGGGAACAGCAGAAGGAGCTGGAGAAACAGGCTCTCCTCTGAGCAGGGAGCCCAATGTGGGGCCCCAGCCCAGGACCCCAGGATCATAAACTGAGCAGAATGCAAATGTTTAACCATCTGAGCCACCCAGGTGGCCTAGATTATCTGTTGACATAGAAAGGGATCTGTGGTTAATTGGCAAATGAAAACATATTAAAGTATCATTATAGTCTACAGTATAAAATGTGTCTGTGTATATGCATTTAAAAATGTAGGATGTATATTTTTTGTGCATGTATAAACACACAGATACAAACACATTTGTGTATATATATGTGCAAACATAAATAAATATATATTTATGTAATACACAAGCATATTTGATGTCTAGTATGTTGTAAATATTTCTTAAATGAATCATGAGCTTAAAAGTAAGAAACTTCTTTCAGCGGAAGGTTCAATATGTATCCATTAGGTAGAACTAATTCCTTGTTTTTCAGCTATCTGAAATTTCACATCTAGCATAAATGTAGAGAAAGCTATGTTAAAATTATTTCTAAAATTGAAAGATTTAGAAGACTATAAACCAGTGGTCAGTAAAGACTACACGAGGACTTTGGCTTCACATTTTGTATGCTCCAGTAGTGCCTGGGTGGCTCAGTGGGTTAAGGCCTCTGCTTTTGCCTCGGGTCATGATCCCAGGGTCCTGGGATCGTGCCCCGCATCGGGCTCTCTGCTCAGCGGGGAGCCTGCTTTCCTTCCTCTCTCTGCCTGCCTCTCTGCCTGCTTGTTATCTCTGTCAAATAAATTTAAAAAATAAAAATAAAATCACAAAATATGAAATATAAAAAAATTACATCTTGGCTTTGGGATTTTGTAGTGGTATGAGATGACATGAATATCATTGCATCCATTGTTTTCTACTGTGGTAAAGATAATTTATGGTAGAAGAACCAGAAGGAGATTTTGAAACCTTTGCCCTCAGGTGTATTTAAGGATCTAATTCTGAGGAAATGATTTTTTAAATAGTGCAGGGATTTTTATTGGACCCTTTGATTCTTCTTCTATTAAAAGCAGATTTTTCAGATGGCTCTTTTGTGGCTGTGCATGAAATCAGTGCTATGGGCTATGGCCACTATTTTTAGAAATGAAATAGATTTATAGAAATTAATGAAAAGGAAAATTGAGTAGAAAAATAGAAAATAGGTTATGGTAGAACTTTATAAGGATAATGTTTCTGAGATTTTTGTGGCATGTATATGTATATATGGCCACTAAGTCGATGTGAAATATATTTCATACTGTGGGTCACAGTCAAAACATTTAAAAACTGCTATAATGTAGAATGAAGTTTCTGAGTCTTGATTTTAAGGTATAGATTTTAAGATAAGTGCTTCTTTTGAATACTTTTCTTAAAGTTACTTATGTCCACATGTTTTTATATTCCTATGCCCCCTTCTTAATCACTTACTTATTTATTAAAGATTTTATTTATTTATTTGACAGAGAAATCTGAAGCAGGCAGAGGGGGAGGGGGTAGCAGGCTCTCTGCTCTGCAGAGAGCCTGATGTGGGGGCTCTGAGGGCTCGATCCCAGGACCCTGATCTGAGCAGAAGGCAGAGGCTTAACCCCCTGAGCCACCCAGGTACCCCTATTTATTTATTTTTAAAGATTTTAAAATTTTTTTAGGACACCTGGGTGGCTCAGTTGGTTAAGTGTCTGCCTTCGGCTCAGGTAGTGATCCCAGGGTCCTGGCATTGAGTCCTGTTATCTGGCTCTTTGCTCAGCAGGGAGCCTGCTTCTCCCTCTGCCTGCCACTCCCCCTGCTTGTGCTTGCTGTCACTCTCCCTCTGACAAATAAATAAATAAACTCTTGAAAAAAATAAAAATAGTTTTTCTTGTTAAGTAATGTCCTCACCCAATGTGGGGCTCAAACTCAATAACCCCAAGATCAGGAGTCATATGCTTTATCAGCTGAGTCAGTCAGGTACCCCATTAATCATATTTTAAAATTGAACCTTTTTGATTTCTTTTAACTTTAAACATGCCCCTTTTATTATCTCCTCACCTTCAACTCGTCTCCATTATTTTCCAAAAGACACACCTCTGGTAGTTAGTACCTTATGGTAAATATTACACACAGTGATTCCTCGATGCCAGCAGTTCTCTTGTCTAATAAGTACTGCAAATGAACATTTTAAAATTTTTCCTAGCCTTTACGAAGTTTACATTGGCATACATTAGATGCAGAAGTTGCCTTAAAGTCACTGTACTGCTGAAAGCCCTTCATTTTTCTTCTGTTGCTTTTGGGGTAAAGTCCAAACTACTTACCATAACCCAGGAAGATCTTCATGGGTCTTCCTTCTGATTATAACTTGTTTTGTCAAATTCTCTTGCCCTAGAGCCGCTCTTCATCCTACCTACTGCTTCTGAAGCTTAAGTACCCCTTCTCTCTGTGCCTCTAGCACTTACTGTACTTCTATACTGATTGCCAATTTGCTTGCTTCTTTTTCTCATTGGATGGATTGATTTCTGAGAGCAGATCTTATCTGTCTTCACTGTTGAATCCCTAGCATATTGTACAGCTTAATAAAGATTTAATGAAAAACTACTGTTGAACAATAGTAGTTCTAGCTCTCAACATTCATTGTGTGCCTGTTGTGCTAGTTCTGTGTAGTCATTTCATATTCAGTATCATTTAAATTCTCACAAAAAATCCTCTTAAGATGCGGTGATACAGCTGTTTCATAAATGAGGAATCTGAGTCAGGTTGTGTTAGTTACATGCCCAAGCTCATTCAGTTAATCAGAATTTGAACCATTACATACTCTCTCCTCCCCCACTCCAGATGAAGAAAATCATGCTTTTCATTTCACTCATTATTTCTCCCTTTTTATACACAGCTGGTGTATTCTCAGCAGGCCTTGCTCCAGCTGCATTTGTGCCAAATCCATATATTATCAGTGCTGCTCCTCCGGGGACTGACCCATACACTGCGGCGGGATTGGCTGCCGCAGCAACATTAGCAGGTACCTCACTGTTCAGCCTTGTTGCTTATTATGGATTTAGTTTTAATTCTGGTATAAGCTTTATTTTTGTCTATTTGGTCAATTTGAAGTACCTAGGAAATGAAACATTTATCTGAAATGAGCTGAAGTTTCCAGAGAGTTAGTTTGCTATTTTTCCTATTGTAGTGCTAGGAAAAAGCCTAAGCCTGGTAACTCTTTCCTTATACATAGTTGATTCACATTTTAATTTTGTAGTTTTAGAGATCTTACATTGTTAACCACAGATCTTCCCTTTGTGACCAATGCTATTAACCGCAGAGACATTGCAAAGTAAAGTCACTTCTCATAAAATAAACGGGGTAGGTGCTATAAATACCATGTCAGGGAGAGTATGAGGTAAAGGAGCTTCAGCAATCTTGAGAGAATGCGTATTTAGAAAGTAGTTAATTTAGCTATATTAAAATGTGCAAGCCGACTGAGGGGCAAAATGGAGAATTGGAGTTGGAAAGAACTGCCAAAACCGAAACTACCACTAAAAATTTAAAATGAAAGCCAAAACTATTCAGTGTTACATGTTCGTGGTATAGCAATAAAGCTGGGAGGCAAATATTTTTAAACCCAAAACTGTATTTATTGCAAGAGTTATGTGCTGGTCAGGTACCATCCTGTTGAGCAAAGCAATTTGTTGATATTCTGTAGGATTATGAGGAGGTTATTTTAGACTAAGTTGGGTATAGAGACAAATTAATGAGTCTTAGGTACAGGTTATTATGTTGGTCACAGAGGTAGAAACAAGGTAGTATCAGCTACAGAGATGTATGTTCACTGGAGTAAGTCTGCCAGTTCAATTTCGTAACTCTAGACTACCGTGTGTTGTTTTTTTTTTTTTACTTTGTTCACTGATACGAATTGTCACTGATGAGTAAGACCGTTTTAAACACCACTGCTGGTAGTTACTATCATGACCAAAGAACAGTTACTCTTTTCTTGAGACTTTGGTACTCTTTATTTATACTCAAGACTTAAAATATTAAGAAGTGAGAAAATAAACATTAATTTCAAATTTTTGTTTGATAGCTTGCTTAGCAGACTGAAACTCATCTGTCATACTCAGTAGTTTTTAGTATAGATCTGCATGTGGTTCCATAAAGAAGGGATGAACTGTCTTGGTGCTGGTTAACTGGATGTTAGTATGTAAAGTTCTGGTTTATCATACAGTCTATGGAATCGAAAGAAACTCCTTTAAAAAATTGTTAGTTTTGAGAATAAGCATTCTAGGCATTCTGGGCTTAGGCAAAAGACCAGTGCTACCCAGTAGAAATACAATGTGAGCCAAATAATGTAATTTAAGCTTTTCTAGTAGCTACATTATAAAGTAAGTAAAAAAAACATAGAATTAATTTCAATATTTGATTTAGCCAAAATATCTAAAATATCATTTTAATATAATTTTAAATTACTAATAGATCTTTTACGTATACACACACAAAACCAACAAACTCTCTGGGCAGAGTCCTCAAAATCTTGCATATGTATCATACTTCCAGCACATCTCAGTTTGGGCCATCCAATTTTTTAATTCTTATGTAGCCACAAATGGCCTCTGGCTTCTGTTTCAGACAGAGAGGTTCTAGGTAGGTGTCTTGACTTTTGTTTTGATAATGTTTTCTTCCTTCATAAATCTGTTAATAGTTCTCATTATAGATTTGTTTAAACTATCTTCAGAAATATATTTTATCTAAATTTTTTTAATGCTTTTTACTTTAGTTGATTCAGTCAATTGTACTGGGGTTTATTTTCCTCCAAAACAAAGTAAAACCAAGAGTTTAACTTTACAAAGTGTTAAATAGCTATACTAAAATCATATCTGTGGGATTTTAGGCCCTCTTTATTATATCAATCAGTAATCATGACATCTTACTCATCAGCTTACTAATGGTGGGCCATGTTGTGTACTTGCTCTTTCCTCTCCTAGAAGCAAATATTACCTTAAGTAGAATAGAAAAATAACAATTGATTCTATTTTTCCTACTTTGCTTTCACATGTCTGTGTGTCTGCTTTGTATTACCTTTCTTTCTTGTCTTTTTTTTTTTTTTTTTAAGTTTTTTTTATTCATTTGACAGATCACAAGTAGGCAGAGAGGCAGGCAGAGAGAGAGAGAGGAGGAAGCGAGCTCTCTGCTGAGCAGAGAGCCCGATTTGGGGCTCGATCCCAGGACCCTGAGATCATGACCCGAGCCGAAGGCAGAGGCTTAACCCACTGAGCCACCCAGGCGCCCCCGTTCTTTCTTGTCTTGACTCACTAGTCCATTTTCCTAATAATATAAACACTGAAGTTTCATTTGTTTTCATGTGATTTTCAGTTGTTTTAGGAGAATTGTGACTAATTGTTTCAAATGTGAAAAATATGTTTAATAAAAACTTAATTTAAAAAAGAATATTTTTAAATTGAAGATTTACAATTCAAGTAACAGTTGTAGCGAGCTTGGTACCAGAATGTTTCCTATTTTTATGTTATAGGTTGCAGATAAAAAGATAAAAGTGTTCTTATTGTTGTAATTCTTTTCAGTAGTCAGAAAATGACCTTTTTAATAAAGAGAATTTGAATTGAACATAGTAAACCCACAGTTTTAAGAAATCTAATGTTCCCTAAAAATACTATGTGTTTTCTGGTATCAAACCCATGAGCCGGCATTCAGTAAATGTTGCATAGATTATTAAGTATCCTGTCAATTCATTGGCCCTCTTGACTTTAGCTTTATCATCTCCATTAAGGCCATTGCAGTCACTCCTGAATACTTTGTCTTTTAATAGTCATATCTGAATGAGACTGTCCCCCTAATAGAATCAGAAAAAAAATAGAAAGTATGTAGCAGGTGTTAAGTGAGTAGAGGATTATAAGGACATTTGCTCTAAGTCTTAATATACTGTTCCTTTTTATGATCTAATGGTAACTGACCTCATTTATCTATAAAATGTAAGTAACTTTTTTTTTGGGGGGGTGGGGTGGGTTGTGGGGTTTAGGTCCAGCAGTGGTTCCACCTCAGTATTATGGTGTTCCGTGGGGGGTGTATCCAGCCAATTTATTTCAGCAACAAGCTGCAGCTGCGGCAAACAACACAGCAAATCAGCAGGCAGCATCACAAGCTCAGCCTGGACAGCAACAGGTACAGGCCTGCCTTCATTAACGTTAGTACTGCAGAGTCTTTGAAATTCCAGGAGTTCTTTGTTTTCAAGATCTGTGTCTTTTCATCTTCTTCAGTATGTAATACAGTACCTAGTATCTAGTTGGTATACAGGTGTATTGACTACATTTTTTTCTAATTACATGAATTTAAAGATGTGGCTGTATTCTGTTTCTATGTTTCTGTTATGAAACTGTCTTGAAATTTCTAGCAATTTTTAATTTTCTTTTCATCCCCTCTCCAGGTGTGTTAATTTCCCTATCCAAGTAATTATCACTTCATTTTCTTCTCGGTATTTAAATTACTATTTTGAATATTACTATATATCTGATCAGGAAAGGATTCCTGCATACTTTATATTTTTAAACAAGAGGAAAATATTTTCACTAAACATTAGATTTAACTTCTTAAAATAGAAAATGTTTATTACACAGGTGTCTCCAACCCCCCACCCACCCTCGCTTTCCTGGAACTATTTTAATAAATGTGGAAACACTATTGATTTCAGAATTCTGGTTGTCAGATTCTTCATAATTACACCGAAGAAGCAACTTAAAGCCAAGTACAGTGTTTACTTGACAGCTAAATTTTGTCTAAATTTCCTTTATATATTTGAATACTATATTGATGTTGTATTGAAGCTGTCCTTTGGCTCAGTTCTTGTAGATTATACTACAGCGTGATTTAATAAATTCTTTGGGCAAACATGAAAATATTCTACCTGAACAATACACAAACCTATGTGTGAGGCTTACACAGGTGGTGTTAACAATGAATCCCCCTTGTCCTGAATTGTTTATCTATCTTTGTGAAATTAATATGATCTAAGATTTTTGCCATTCCTCCCTCCAAATAAATTTCTTATTTTAATACTACATTGGTAAGTTAAAGAGCACAAATACTAGAAATAATTTTCCCACAGGCCTTCTAAAATCTCCATATTACTTAATAGATTGTTCTAGTTGTCAAGAGCCAGCGATTGTGTTTTTGAATTTAAGTATTTTATATTTTTTCATGCTATATCAGCATTTCATTGCACATAATAAATATGTTCAAAGACTATCCAAAGACCATTTATCATATGTACAGAGTTGCCTGGGATAAATTTATCTGTCTGTTATTTGATAATTTCATTTTGAAGGAAATCATTTGTCCTTTGTAGGTTCTCCGAGCTGGAGCAGGTCAGCGCCCTCTTACTCCCAATCAGGGCCAACAAGGGCAGCAGGCAGAATCACTCGCAGCAGCAAATCCAACTTTGGCCTTTGGTCAGGGTCTTGCTACCGGCATGCCAGGTATATAGTTAGTTAATTGTAGAAGTTGGCATAGGTTTGAAATGTTAAATGTAGACACTCACATTGAAGAGTGAAAAAATCAAGAAATGTCTTTAGAGTCTTGCTTACCTTGTAGTTAGTATTTTAGAGCTCAGATGCCAGTAGTTGAAATCAGTACTATTGTGAGACTTAGCAGGGATGGCGTACGTGTACTAGGGTTCTTAATGTGTCCATTTTTTTCTTCTGTTTATGGCCTAAGCTATAGCATTCTCCTAACTCACCACAGCCCAGAATTCTTGAAGCCAGTCCTTCAAGAAATAAAATCAGTTTAGAGTTGGCATGTCAGATAAATCTTGTTTCTGTTTGCCATTGCAGCCAAAGAAAGTCATTTTGTTAATACTGAGAAGTTTGCAGCTAAAATTTTCCACTTTGAACATTGTTCCATTGTGTTCAGCTCATTTTATAGTATTTTAAACTATTGATTTTTTTTTTTAAAGATTTTATTTATTCATTTGAGAGAGAAGGTCAGAAAGAGAAGCAGACTCCCTGTGGAGTTGGGAGACCAGTGCAGGACTCTATCCCGGGATTCCAGGACCATGACCTGAGCTGAAGGCAGCCGCCTAACCAACTGAGCCACCCAGGCGCCCATAAACTGTTGTTACTTATAACCTGACAGTGTCTTTGAAAATATGCCTATGAAAGCCCAATACAAAAAAGAGTTATAAAAATTTCTTCCCATTAACAGACTACAACTCTCAGAAAGGGCCAACAAAATACATTTTTTTGGTGAAGTAGATTTTTTTATACAAAATTACAGATACAAAGTTACTACTTTAGTAATAATGGAAGGAAGGTATTTTTTTTAATCGATACAAGCAGCACTTGTTATGTTTTTAAAGTGAAATTTAAAGCTGCATTTGAATATCAGTAGGTAATAGGTCACTTCCTATTCTACATTCTCTTCACTCCTCAAGACTCACTTTCTCTCTTAAGTATGCTATTTTTTCACTCTTAGTATATGAGTAGTTATTTAGATTACTTACTAATGAAATGTGAGTTCTGGTTTCCATTTAATTGTAAAGTAGTTACATTTTCTTTCTTTCTTTCTTTCTTCTTTTTTTTTTTTTTTAATTTATTTGCCAGACAGAGATCACAAGTAGGCAGAGAGGCAGGCAGAGAGAGAGGAAGGAAAGCAGGCTCCCTGCTGAGCAGAGAGTCCAATGCGGGGCTCGATCCTAGGATCCTGGGATCATGACCTGAGCCGAAAGCAGAGGCTTTAACCCACTGAGCCACCCAGGCGCCCCTGTAGTTACATTTTCTATTCATATCACTTAGGAAATGTGTTTAAAGTATGGGAACATATATGTCGTTGAGGGTTTCTTTTATGTGTTCTGTGCTGCTGAATACTTCTGTATGTTACTTTTAAGGATTTCTCAATTCATTACATTCATTCTATTTTCTCTGAGATTTTATCATCTTGTCTAGCCCTCTGGATAAAGAGAAGATGTTAGTACTGCAGTCCCTGAAGTACAAATAATAGAATGGATGTGGTTTTCATTTTCTTTTCTTTTCTTTTTTTTTTTTTTTTTTTAAACCCCAGCCATGTACTTGCTTCAGGGAAGCTGCTTTCCTGGAGCCATTGTGGATTAGAGACCTTTGAGAATGTACTGTGAAGCTGAAGTTGTAGATGTGGAGAGACATGGAAACAAGGCTAAAGGGAACTGAGCTGAGAGTTTATTGAAGACACTGCTAAGACTACTCTGGGCTCTTCTTTCTTTTTTTTTTTTTTTTTTTTTTTTAGATTTTATTTATTTATTTGACAGAGATCACAAGTAGGCAGAGAGGCAGGCAGAGAGAGAGGGGAAAGCAGGCTCACTGCTGAGCAGAGATCCCAATGCAGGGCTTCATCCCAGGACCTGAGATCATGACGTGAGCCAAAGGCAGAGGCTTAACCCACCGAGCCACCCAGGCGCCCCTGGGCTCCTCTTTCTACCCCTCACTTAACTTTTAAGCCCTATTTCCGTGATTCCTTTGCAGTAATCCTAATACTAACTCAGTAACAACTGCAAATTGTGACTTCCTTTCCTCCATTCTTAATTTTCTCAGTTCTTTGTTGTATTTGATCATATTGACGATGTCCAACTCTCTACAACTCCTCTACCATTATACTACCTTCTGTGATATTTTATTCTCCTGACTTTCCTACCTTACTCATGCTTTTTATCAGTTTCACTTTCCTCTGTGTATAATGGAAAGTATCTTCCTTAAAAATGGAAGATAGTCTGGCTTAGTGATTAGACTCTCTGGAATCAGGTCTGCCAAATTGTTGTATCCCTTAGTTGTGTGACCTTGGCCAAGTTACTTTCCTTTTTGAACTGAACTTCCAATATTGGGACAGTAGATACTTTACTTCTTTGTCAGGAAAAGTTTATCTACTTTGACCTTTTCAGCCATCATCCTAACACCAGTATACTAAATCAGTTTATGTCTACATCTTGGATTCTTTGCTGGACACTTAACACATTTCTTCTTTCGTATAGGACATTACCATGTGTGCGTTTCAGCCACTCCTCAAACTGACAGTGTCAAAAAATGAACTCCTCTCTCCCAGATTTACTTACTTTTCTGTGTACTCTATTTCACTATTAATTCCACTATCCTCTTTTTTCCCCAATACCCAACTAGTTTTATTTTCAACATTAACTAAGTTTAAGTTGTCCTAATTTCTGATACGTACAAATGTGTATTCACTTAACTAGATACACACACATATAAATACATACAAACATAATTCCTGTCTGTAGTAATACTTTGAGTTTTATCTATACAATTAATTTCAAGTCGGGCCAAATATTTCATCTTTTACAATAAACCTAATCTGTTCATGAGACTCTTCATTCTATCTGAGGTAAGGAATATAATCCTGGATAAAACTGGGATGTGCTACTGGGATGGTCAGAACTGCCCCAAGCCCATACAGGGTACCTTGGTACAACTTAAAAAATGAGCCACATTGTCTCAGTAGACACAGCCATAGACCACTCATAAACTCAGCCTGGTGAGTGGAGCCTGACAGGATTTCAGCGGTCATGGGTTATCTCAGCCATGTGCCCTTGTACAGGGCATGATCTCCATGTAGGTGGCCATCCTAGGGGGCTGCTCAGTGGTGGTACAAGCAGAAAGGAGTGATCAGGCCACCTTTGTACAGCTTTACTCCTTGTTCAGAAAGACTGATTTAATTTGTCTGGCTGAGTTTGGTCAGATGGGGGGGTGTCTCTTCTTCAAACCATTAATGTTGATTGAGCTCAAGAGAAAGGTCTCCTTGATGGAAGATCATCTTCACGCTCAAGTTGCACATGGTTGTGCTACATGTAAGTGGACTTTGAAGGTTGAATCTTAAGAAAATAACCCAGTGTTGATTCTTGACTCCTGAAAATTATGCTGTCCATCTGGCTATAGTGTTGAAGTACAAACTAGAAGGTAGGCCTATTCCACAACTATTAAGATGAATTCACACTTGGAGTGGGAGCTCAAACCACTGCTCTCGGGTCCTCAGCTCGGCCGCCTTTACCTAGGAGTAGTGTGGAGGGGTTGAGGGAAGGAGAGAGAAGCTAGCAAGCAATCTCTGCTGCACCCTGGCCCTGGGCCCATGGGCCAGAGAACCAGAGAACCAGGACACCCCTATCTGCACACCTCAGTGAGGCAGGTACACTTGGTTCCACACCTTCGAGGCTGTCCACTATCCTCTGGAACTGGAAACTTTTGGTTTCAGCCGCAGTATCATCTTCAACTCTTGATTCTCTTCTGTGCTAACTTGTCTGTTCTTATTCATTCTGTCTCCTGTTCATTTCTTTTATCTCTGCTATTCTTGTTCAGCCTTTTCCTTATCCTCCCACTAACTCTGCCTCCAGCCTTTTCTCTTCATCTTTTTATTCTCCTTTCGCTTACGATTCAAAAATACAGGTTTATATCATTCTGGTTCTTAACAGTTTTAGTGATCTAGTCCCAGACTAATTGGTAGTATCCTTCTATAGTCCTATGCTTTAACACACTAGATCATATTCTGTCCCTCAAAAATACTTGTATTTTTATGCCTCTAGCCCTACTAAATAATGGCTTTTCACTTAAATACCCTTTTATACATTTTAAGCAGAATTAAGATGTAGAGTTTAACATTTTCCTATTTTAACGTAGGTTAATAAACATTTTATAATTAGCTTTGCTTGTCATTCTTTAAAATCCTTTCTATGATACCTTCTTAATTTCTTTACCGGTGCTTTTTCATCAATAATTACTCTTCCTTTTCCCTTCTGTATCACATAACTTGTACCTTTCTTTAGTAATGCTGTCTGCCTTGCATTTCATTTAGCTATATTTGTGATTTATTTTCTTTAGTCTGCACTTATTACCGTGTTTAAAGGTAGAAAATGTCTTAAAGTGGAACAGCTTTTTCTATTTCTCCCTGAAAGGTAGTTCAGTAGATCAGTGTCATGTCTTAAAATGGCATCTTAAAATTAATGAAATGGTACATTACCTCCTCTACTATACAGTTTTTGAATGTGGAGACTGGTTTTGGTTTTTTTTTTTTTTTTTAGCCCCTGTGTCTTTTTACACTTGCTCAGTAGTAGAAAGATAAATAGAAATTAGAAGCTTTTGAACTGAATGATTATGAAAATGCTAAAAATTTAAGCCTATGAACTACACCTAAAACAACATAGAAGTGGGGACTATAAGAGGCTCATATGTGTACAGTAGAAAGTAAGTTTCTACATGGAACTCTAAAAGGAAAAGAATAAACCCAAAGATTTGAAAGAAGGAAACCAAATGATAAAGGTGAGAGCTGATGTGAATGAAATAGATGGCAAATCTACAGTAAAGAGTCAGGTTATCCCGAAAGTTATTTTCTTTCTTTCTTTCTTTCTCTCTTTCTTTCTTTCTTTCTTTCTTTTAAGATTTTATTTATTTATTTGAGAGAGAGTGAGAGAGAGCATGAGCAAGGAGAAGGTCAGAGAAAGAAGCAG